AAGCACTTGCGTGCGAACCGCAGAAACCTTACGTTTTGGTTCGCTCGCAGAAGCCTAGTGCCACCGGAATGGAGCGAGGCGTTCGAGCCGTGTCGATTCATATGTGAACGCTGTGAGGGTTGCGCCCGACCATGAAGTTGGCCATTTGGGCCCATGTGTAGATCGTTGCGGGAAAACAGTGAGCAGTAGCTCTGAACTACGCATGTTGGTATGTCGTGACTATTACGTTTCGCTCTGTTGTGAATCTTAAAAATGTGACCTGTTTGCTAAACCTACACCTGTACCCTTATACACATGCTTAGGCTATGTATCTGTGCCAGGAAACACAATAATATCGTGGCTGTGCTCATCATGTGTCACCAAGCCTGGGTATACCTGAAGTAAATACACACACGTCTCTAGGTTACCTTTAGGCGGCAGTGTGCAACGATGCTTCACGCCTAACCTAAACCAGGCACACGTAAAACAGGATGCCAGGAAGCTGTCCCAGTCCTCATCCCAGCCATCCTCTTCGGTTCATCACAAGAGCAGCAAGAGCGTTGACTGTTTGTGCGCACAGAGATACCAACATGATGTTTCTCGTACCGAGAAGACCTTCATGTACATAAGCATTGGAAAAATCAAGAAGGCGCCTGCAGCATGTGTGTGTTTGTGTGTGTATGTGCATGTCCACATACACAGCCGCATAGAGATGTGGATATATATATGTATATATATATATATAGATACATAGATGATACATAGATGGTACATACATACATACATATATATATATATATATACACATGCATACATACATACATATATACATACATACAACATACATGCATACACACATGATGCATACACACATACATACATACTTACATACATACATCAAACATACATACATACATACATACATACATACATACATATATTATACATACTTACTTACTTACTTGCATACATACCTGCATACGTGGACACATACGTGCATACATACATCATACATGCATACACACACATGTTCAATCTTAACTACACAACTACCGTATATGTATACCTGCATACATACATGGTTGGATACATACATACATACATACATGCACAGAGACATATCTAAATACCTTACCTTGCATGACCTTACACAACATATATCATATTACAGTACATACTGGCAACACTGGCAGTTTAATACCCATTTATGCAACGACCAAAAGCTATTTTCATCAGGAGAGACTGTGCAGCATGAGAAGATCTGTCAAGGCAATCTTCGACCCACGGGTGAGACCGTGCTGGTCGTGCAACAAAGCCCTTGTGATCTATTTTGGCAGTTCACATGTAGTCATTGTACGTGATATTTGAGTATGGTGATGCCTTCCTCATTGCATCCTGTGTTCACCAATCCTTTCTGCGTCGCCGCCCCCGGGACCGGCTGATGCAAGGAAGCCCTCCGAAGCATGTCTTCATGGGGAAACAGCGAGTGTCAACATCGAGGGTGGCTGCTGTTCTCTCAGGGAGTCAGACCAACCCGCCCGTCCCTCCCCCGTCCCGAGCTCGGAATCGCGGAGCCCCAAGCTCACAGGGGGATACTGGTTTCGCTAATCCTCCAAGAAGCCAGTTAGGTTAAAGCTTGCATAGTTCGCTTTGTCTGTATCCAGCGCAGCGCAATCCAAAACGAAGAGGCCAAGCTTGGGCATCTTCGGCATTTGCGCTGAATCGAAGCTGAGACTTTCAAACTGCCAAAATAAACGTCCAGTGCGTACATTGGGTTCGAAAGTCAGTATATGGGAACATGCGCTGAAGCCCAAGTATCGACCTGACCCCGAAAAATCTCAGGCCCTGAAGGCGGGCCCTGCCCCGTCTCAGGGGCCTGAATAAGTAGAATACGACGTTCTTTACGGGGTCGATGATGGGTTACTACAAGGGTTGTTTTCAGGATTTCGTGCAGGGGCCTTGACAATTGTTTATAAGGTTTTTGGGTGTTTACACAGTAGGCTTGTAGGGCGACTATGATGGGATGCTTCCGCGTTTCTGCAAGCCGCTTTATGATCCAGAACCTGAGAGTAACGTCCCAGATTTGAGGTAAAAACTGTTCAGGACTGTACTGTATTGGCTTGGTCTTCAGGGTGCAGCATTCCTTTGCCAGTTTGGGGACCTCGATCCGCGATGCTGAGACGAAGTCAAGACCCCATAAAAGGAAAGCGAAACCCTAAGCTTCAAACCTTAACCCCTAAACTCAAAGCCATAAACTCATTTTAATTTAAAAACATTATATTCCCTACACTCAAACTAAAGCCAAAACTCGACAAGTAGAGTCCAAAACTCTCAGCCCCAAGCCAAAGCTTCCAGCGCCCAAGCCCTACCACCCTTTACCAAATCCTAACCTCCAAACCCCCAAATCGTGAACCCTAACCTCGAAAGTCCAGGCCCTAGGCCCTAGATTCCTAAGAGCCAGGCCCTAAACCCTAAACTTAAAGGACACTTCGGCCATGGGGGTGCGGATCCCAAGTCTTCAAAGAGTTGAAGCCCCAAAGCAAAGGGGCCTTACACCCAAAGCCCAGAAGCCCCGAAGCATCAACCGGTACAGGCTGTATACATACATAGAAAAATAATATTTGTTTGTAATTATATACACATGTATATATCCTTTGTATATTTACTTGTCTACTTATTTATACATATATATATATATATGCTAGAGGGTTCAGGAGTTCTGGATTCTTAAATATGGATCTCCAAGCCCAGGGTCTTGCACCCTCGACCCTTCTAGGGTCTCATACACCCCGTTACACAAATCTCAAACCCAAACCCCTAAACTCCTAAACCCTAAAACCCTAAACCCTAAAACTCACGGCCTAGGTCGTGCACCTTCGTGGGTGGACAGCCCTTAAGCCCACCGACCTCGATGGCGCAGAGCGATCCAACACGCTCGCCCGCCTCCCCGTCGTAAGACGTTCTCGCCTGCCCTCCCGTGTCTTTTTGTTTTGCCCCTGCTCTGCCCTGCCCTGCCTTGCCCTTGCCCGGCCCTGCCCGAGTAGGTTCGGGTGGTTTGGCCGCCTTAAACAGCGCGGGCTGGGAGAGTTAAAAGAAAGGGCCATCTACAATCTGGCTTCAACGGCCAATCGTCATACTGCGACGTACTCGAAATAACACTGTCGCAAGATGTTTTCGCTTATGCACCACTCTATGGCAAACCCCAAACCCTACACCCTGAAACACTAAACTTTAGTCACTAAACCCTACAGCCCTGAACCCTAAAACCCTAACCGCAACCCCTAAATTCCTAAACATCTCTCCTCCTCGAGGTTTTCGGAGGAGACTCCGGACCGTTTCTTTGCTAAAGAGATGAGGCCCGACATTGCGGGGCTCTGTGCGGTTTCATATGAGGCCTTAACAAACCCAAAGGGTCCAAGTATCATTATGGTATATACTTGTAGGGTATTTTGGTGGTCTAAGTAGATACCATAATGATACTTGGACCCTTTGGGAAATAGAATCGGGCTCTTGAAGGGACTTGTAAGCTTACATCGGGATGGGTTCAGGGAGGGTGTCTAGGCTTTGGGGCTTAGGAGAGGCTTTTCGCATGCAGGTAGGATGTTATAGGCTTAAACATCTTACGGTGTTCAAACTTTTCCACATTTCTTTTCGGCTGTCGCCTTGGTATGGCTGTTGGCTCCGTATGGGTTTGGGGTTCTTGGGTTCAGACTTTTTCGGTCTTGCTTGGCTTGGGGAAATCAGACCTGGTTTAGGGGAAGAGTCTCGGGTGAAGTTCTCTTGAAGCCTGCATCCTGATCTCCTGGGCATGAAGTTTGTTGGTACTCTTCAAAATGCAAGACAAAAGTAACTTGAGCCAGACAGCGGCAAGAACAAATCAAGACCAGCTAGCATGCTGCAGCTTCGGGGCATGGGGTGTACGCTAAACCCTAAACCCTAAATCCTAAATCCTAAACCCTAAACCCGAAATCCTAAACCCTATAAATCCTAAACCCTAAATCCTAAACCCTTGTAGGTTCGGATTTAGCTGTGAAAGCCCAAGCTAAAATGTAGGGCTCATAGTCTTGGGGCTCGACTGTCCAGTCTGATCCATGACGTGAAAGTAGATAATGTAGGGGCCTTAATCATTACCCACATTATTTTGGGGGGTTCCTTATTATACAAGTATAGTATAATGGGGCCTTAATAATTACCCATAATATTTCGGTGGTTCCTTATTATAAATATAGTATAATGGGCCCCAAAACCCTATTCCAATTAGTCACAATAAGCCCCTTGAAGTTGGAAACCGAATCAAGGCCAAATAGTGCTGGGGTTCTCTATACATTACTCCTTTGAGGCTAGTGGGTTTCCAACTTTTTGGCTTCTACTGTAGCAGATAGCTGGCTATCCAACCCTCAGCCTCGAACACATTCAACGGCTTCGGGTTTTGGGTTTAACACTCCAACATGCGCTCTAAAATGCTAAACCATCCGTAACACCCAGAGACCCTGAGCATGTACACAGTGTTAACGCCTACATTCATTTAACCAGAAACTCACCTGAAACTTTCCTCCAACGTCGCAGCCCAAAACTCCACGTCCCAAAAACCAAAAAGTCTTCTGTCTGCATGACTGGGGTCAAAGAATTAAGGGTTCACGGTCTTGGAGGCTTAGGGGCAAGGTACATTGAAATCCTACGTTCAGGATCTGGTGTGATTGTGAACTGGATCAACACCTTATGACAGGCTTATGAGCAGAGGTTCAGCCGAGGTCTACAAAGAAGCTTGCTGTTGAGAGCTTCAGGATATATTATGATTTGCCATTTCAGCTTCGGGTTCAAGTGCTTGACACCATTAATATAGGGGCCTTAATTATTAGAATAGGGTTTCGGGGCCCATTATACTACGATTATAACGCTCCCTGTAGAAAGCGAGGTGAAAGGCTCCTAAGCAAGGAGCCCCCAAAATAGTAGAGGTAAGTACAACATTAGTCTTACGGTACCCGAACTAAACTCATTTACTAACCCATACTGGAGCAGGCCTGGTCCACCACAAGGGTGGCGGTCCTTTTCAGCTCCTGCAACACACGTGGCGGTGGCTTGCTGAATAAAGACTCCATTCGTCGCATGCTACGGAACCGCATTGACAGGGCCCAGGGCTTCTGCAAAGAACAGCAAATCAGGCTTTGCTGTCCATTCTGCATTGATGTAGCTATCAGAAGCCAGATGTCCAGCAATATCAACTCAGTTTGGGTGGTCACCGTCATCCACGACAGCCCTGACTGTAGACAGAAATGCACGGAGCAGTCAGAAAAAGCCTTGCTACCTTTGATGCCGTTGCTGCCCCTTGCTTATCAACTCGAACGATTCATGCCGAATGAGCAGGCACCGCGCCTGGGGAGCCATAGTGGAGGTGCGGCCGTTGGTATAAACAGTTTCTCTGCACGTTGCGCAGAGATTGGAACTAATGGAGTAAGTCTAGAAAGCTGCCAGGTTGTCTGATGGCTAAACTGTACAGTATCAGAGAGGTTGGGGGACATGTGAGGCATGCGACCAGGTCTTTTGAAACTTGTCTAAATCACGTGAGCCAACAGCGCATCAACCCGAAAACCCGGAGTTTTGAACCCTACTTGGAGGTTATGTGTAGTTATATATAAGTGGGGTTATATGTAGGGTAACTATACTTATAACCCACAGTAGGGGACTTATAGCCCCACTTAGTATAACTACGTACCCATGAACCTCCAAGTGCAGCCCTACAGCAGTCCTCGCAGTCGGGCGACCTGTGTAGTGACTTACTGAAATCTGGTTGCGTAGGGACGTAGCAAAAACGGAGCCGGCAAGACATATAAAATATCGGCACCAGGCACGAAAAAACATCCAAAACATCAAGATGAGTATGCTGGACGGGTGGACTCCCTGATTGGGGGTCTGTCTGTCAAGTGCTAGCTGTTGCATCCACAATTCAAGACTCCATCGGAGCAAGTATGATTTCTGCAACCTCTGCGCTAGGGCTCCGAATGCTCGGGTTTAGACCTCATGTTCGGACAAGAGTTCGGGCTAAGGAAGGGCAACCGAGCAAGACTTCGAAACGTTTTCTTTGGGCCCTCCAAAAGGGATCCTACCTATAGTCTCCATTGTAATTCCTTTTTTGGTCAACCAAATTTATGGTTTCGATCCTATAACATAAATTTGGATAACCAAAAAGGGGGCTACAATGGACACCACAGGTAGTGCAGAGCGCTGCAGAACCGGCCTCCAAACCTTCAACTCTCAAAAGCCTGGATGACATCCTTTTCTCCGCTGTCAGGGATCATTGCCTGAAGCGTGGACGTGACAAGAAGAAACGCTTCACATCACCTGAGAGTGGCGCCGTTCGAGGTGTGTTTGGGAGAATCGGTGAAGTATGCGCCTTGTTTAGAGGCCGTCTCGCGTTTCCAGTAGCGGCTGGGGAGGCTGTTCTGTTAACCTCTTGAATTTCGAACCACTTTGTCACAAAGTCCACACCACTAAAACGCTATATCCAAGAAAAACAGTATGTTTTGACCCCGGTATCGTGGGGACTGTCGAAACCTGATTTGTTCCGATTCCCAGCACCTTTCCTTGGGGTTCCCGATTGTAGCCATATCCTAGATCAGCAAAATGAAGAATATTCGTACATATGAGATCTCTTGAGCCCATCAAGAATTGTACAATCGCAAAATGTAGGGGCCGTCATAATTACCTCTACTATTTCGGTGGTTCCTTATTGTAGTTATAGTATAAACGACCACAGAACCCTTCTTTGACCATGAAGGCCCCTATACTATTACGCCAACAACCCATCCTTCGGACGGATGAGCGACCCCGACGTGGACAAGCCAAAATCCATTTTCTACAAGGGCTCTATGAAGGGATCTATTGTGGAGGTCTTTCAACAAGGGTTCTATGAGGGGATCTATTTGGGATTATGTCATGAAGGGCTTTTGAAGGGTTCTATAAGACGATCCATTAGGGCTTTGCTAAGAGGTTTATTCGGGTAAAAAACGGGGAATCCAAACCACACTGTTCGGGCTAACATTGAATTTGAAAAATAATACAGTATTTACAACATGTACTATATACTTTTCTGATTTATTTCTTGAAAATATATGTCGTAGGGCTCAGTCTTTTGGGTGTAGGGCTTACTGTTGTAAAAATGAGACGAGGGTTCTTGGCATTGACTATAGGATACCTACGCATACGAAACAGCTAGAACGGAAGTGCGGCTGCTGTTTATTTAGAACTTTACGTGGGTGGTTGTCAAAATTAGGGTCCCTTTTTGGATACCCTCAAATAATAGGTGCCGTATTAAAATAGGGACCCAAAAAGGACCATAATCTTGACAACCACCCATGTCTAATCTCTCACTCCAAACCCGCCTGTTGCAGGTTCGGGCAGTACCTGGACCCTAAGGAACCTATATACCCTTTTTAAAGTCCCCCAAAAAGGTAGGAGGTTACTTGGGGCTAAGGTATTGCTCTGAGCGGGACGACTGGTTGGGCGTTGCGGGCTCTGGGTCATTTGTAAAGGTACGGGTTAAGGTTTCTATTGGGGTTTCGCACGGGGAATCCGAACCTTTTTAAAGGTCCGGTTTAACTTGGAGGTTCATGGGTAGTTATAAGTAGGGTTATAAGTCGGGCAACTATACTTATAACCTATATTAGGAGACTTATAACCCTATACTTATAACAACCCCTGAACCTCCAAAAAGGTCAAGAGTTTAGGGCTTTCGGCTCAGGACCCTTGTCAGAAGCCAGCCACAGAGAAGCCCGCAAACCCAAAACCTTAAACCCTCACAGCTCTAAACAGAAAGGCACACGCCCGAACTCTGCCCAGTAAGGTCTGAGCACCTCAGTACGGCTGAAACTGCCTTAAACCCCGTCAAGAAGCAAGGTTTCAGGTTTACCTTAAACCCCAAATAACCTACCCTTTCGAAGACTTATGAAACTCATGAGAAGGAACCGTTAGGGAACCGTAAAAAGGCAGCAAGACATCGAAGAAGTCATAATAAGGAACCCTAGAAAGGTAGCTTCTTTAGGTTCCAGGTAGCTGCTGGTGTCAGGCTTTAGCCGTTGAGGCACACTGCTCGGACGGACTTCGACTCGGCTGGCAGGGTCTCTCATAATGAATAGGTATTGGTATGCTGTTCTTTCAATTAATCCCGTCCTTTACGACTCCCGAAACCCTATGTAACCTAGGTTCTGATTCTAATTAATCGGGCCCAAGTTTGTTTAACTGTAATAGACGCGGCGAAGGCCCTTTGCTGCAATGTCGCGGGGCGCTTCCAGCGCGACCGGAAACCACAGCCACGCCAATCTGTACTGCCTAGGCACACTGAGGTTCGGGGCACTGGTTTGCTAGCCATTACCACTATGGGTTAGTAGACCCTAAAGATCCCTATTAGGACCCTATTAAGGGTAGATTAAGGTACCCATAAGGTCTAATAGCCCATAGTGGTAACCCGGTTTAGAGTTTGGGGTTTAGAGTTTTGGGTTTTAACCCCACGGCAGTACATTCATTGTGCTTGCTTGGAGGAGCCTACAAGTAGCAGCTGCGGCGACGCTGGGTCGAGTGGAGCAAATCAACGCCTGTAGTTGAAGTAAAATACCACAACAAAAAACCGTTTTCATGAGACCCAGAACCGAACAATCGAATTCTTGCCGTGAAGCTCCAAAGGCTCATAGTTACTACCAAACTCAACTTCACAATCTCGTGTCAACAAGCCCATAATTTTTCTAAGCCACCATCATTGTATAAGGCCCTTGAACCGGCTAAATCTCGCAGGTGTATCCTACAACTCCTTAATGACGTACGTGGCTGCTTAGGTGCTGTTTTGGGGTCCCTAATCTGAAGTCTAAAGATGCTTTCTTATCCAACGCCGTCACTGTACCCCAAATACTAGGATCCTTCTTATCAAGACCCCAAAATAACGTACCTAGGCCATATAACCCCAAGAAAATGTCTTTCTGAGCCAAGCGGGCGCCCTCGGCCAGCGGCTTCGCTGCCGCTCCGCGAAGGGCCGCCAAGGCCTTGGCATAGTCGGGGTGCTTCCCTAGCCCAAAGGGTCCAAGTATCATCATGGTATATACTTATAGGGTAATGATACTTGGACCCTTTGGGTAATGTAGGAGCCTCAACAAGTAGAATATGGTTCCATAAGGTGTCTATAAGACGGTTCTAGATAATGTAGGGGCCTTAATCATTAGAATAGGGTCTTGGAGGATATTATACAGTCATCATAATAATCAGAAACCCCCAAAACCCCATTCTAATTCTTAAGGCCCCTATTTTACACGTTCTTATGCCGCTCCCCTGCGTAGGGGTTATTTCCATATATGTCGCTCTGTGTACTATTCAGGTTCTACCACGGCACCTCCACGGTTTAGGCTTTGTAGGGTACTTGGAGGATCAGGGGACTTGGTAAGTAAGGTTATAAGTACCTTAATAGGGGTTATAAGTAGTTATAAGTAGAGTTACCCTAATTATAACCCCAGTTACTAAGTCCCATGATCCTTTAAGTAATGTAGGAACCTGATTAAGAAACCTTTGGCCTTGATGAGGGCTCCTTATATGAATCCGACTATTTTGGGGTTACGGGCCCAGGTTTCTAAAATCAGGTTCCTACATCATACAAAACCTCGTTCTGCTTTTGCAAGGAGCTCTGACCTGAAAGACCCTACGTAGCAGATTCCCAATAATTCTCGGTTAGCCAAGAGAGACAGTCTGTATGACTTCCTATATCAACACTGAAGGATCCCTATACCATCCCAAGCCCGTCAAACCCTAAACCCTAAACCGCATCTCAACATGCTGCCTCCTCCCGCTGCTCCTCGTTCAGCCCATCCAGAAACTTTCTGACGGGTGGCTGGCCTCCGTCTGACTACATGTGGTTTCGAGGTTCTGGGTTTGTGATAAAGAACTATCATGCCCCGGCCTCAATATAGATTAGACTACATAGGCTTAGTAAGCTGTATGAAAGTGCGTAGATGACTCTGTCATTATAAGTCATAAGTATACTACAGCCACCCCCAAACCATGCTCTAATATTCGGAGTTGGGAAGGAAGACTCGGGCACATGGGCTGAAGGCTTATATAGCCTGAAAGATCACTTCCAGTAACCTTTTTAAACCCTTACAGTAGCCCCTGTAGTCACCCTGAAAGTAACCCTTGCGTGAGCCCTCAACGTCGAGGAAACCCAACACAACTCCCAAGAAGGTGCCCTTGACGAGTTGAATAGGCGTTACCCGATCGGGTTACGGGTTTAGCGAGCTAGAAGGCTTGTCTGTAAGGTTCTTCTATAGTATTCATGTTAAGTCTTTGGAGACTTAGAGCATAGTAGACTTACTTAACACAACCTGTAGGGTTTCGGTGTACATTATCATGCATGGCATAAACACGAACTATGAATATACAGCTTAAATCTTAACGCCTACCTGTCTACCAGGACAAGAAACGGACATTGCCGGACCCATAACAACCCCGGAGCAGCCCAAGCTAAACGGAAGTGCACCATTCTCTGAGAACCTCGAATATCAAAGCCGAAAACCTAAGCTCTAGCTTCACCCTCCCTGCACCCGCCAGTAATCCCTGCTACTTCCCAGAGCCTACAAGGGCACCATGGTGCTAGGGTGTAGGAATTTACCAAGGCTTAATCGGCTTAGGGCCTGGACAAGTCCACACACTGACGCTCTGACCGGAGTTTTGGCTTTGGGGTTTGATGCTAGGGTTCCTGAACCGTCAGCCCTCAACCTCAACCACCAACACTTGGAGGTTCATGAGTACTTACAAGTAGGGTTGTAAGTAGGGTAGCTATACTCATAACCCATACTAGGGAACTTATGACCTCACTTATAACTGCCCCTTAGCCTCAACCACCAACAACGCCGCCAATCCAATCAACAGCTCCTAAGCTCAGAACTCCAAACGGCAAGCCAGGGCACCGAGATTCCACTGCATGAAATCATCCAGCGTCTGCAAAGGAACCTCTGGATGATCCAAGCTTGAAGATCTAGCGAATCGGAGCTGGGGCTGATTGCTAGGAATCAAAAAGGGTGCCCTTTTTGGGTTTGACGGGAACCTGAACCCCAAAAAAGGGAATAAGGGCTTACTCTGGCTCCTAGGAGGTGATAAGACCCCGGGCTCCTTTGAAAAAGGATCTGCACAGGATCTACAAGGGCTTGGGGTTTTCGATTCCCTGCAAACAGACGGAGCTAGACTCTGGCTTTGTCTGCTTGAGTTGCCGGGATTTGCGAGTCTAGGGCTAGCCGTTTCTTTAGGTGTGTTGGCTTTGCAAGTTATGGTGGTCCTAGGAGATTATGGGGTAGGGACGAACTGCAAGACGCTACGAGAATATTCTGAGTCCCAATGTACCATCTGCCCGCTTTGACCCTTTCAGAGCATACGTACTGTGCTGGTAGTGAAAACCCCCTGGGCCAGATCCTCTGGAACACCCGAGCCCAATCTCTAAATCGCAGCGCTTCCTAAACTTTCCCAGATCCCATCCCCAAGGAGTCCTGTGTACTGTTATGGGGGATACTTCCCCTAAGTCATAATAGTAATTCTTAACATGGAAACCCTACATTCTGCTATATCGGCACACAGGACCCTTTGAGATAACCTTCCCCAAAACCCTCATCGGCAATATCCCATCATTTGCATCCAACAGAAAATCCATCTCCTGATCCCCAGTTCATCCGAAAGCCGACCCAATATAGATAGAGGGCCTTAGTAATTTCTGTACCATGAATTACGTATACCATTGTTGTCATTTTTTGGAGGGGGTGCTCATTATAGCCAAAGCGCAATATACCCCGAAACCCTAGGCCCTGTATTAGCACGAGAGTGGGTCAAACCAGGGAGCGCTCACCCAGCTGCGCCAGGCTGTGACATCCTCTTGCTGAGGATCCAGGATTAAGAAAGGGCCCTAGATTTCTGACTAGCCCCTTCAATAATGAGGGTACCCTTTTCCTACTATAACTATTCCCCTTCCAAAATCCAGAGGATCAAACTTAAGAACCAACTAGGTTTCTGAGTAACCCCTCTATAATAAGGGTACCGTGTTTCCTACTACGATTCGGCTTTAATAAAGGGCCCTGAAGTGAAAATGGGCAAAGGGTGCTACTCAGGAACCTTGGGCATTCATAACGAACAAAGAGGGCTTTCAGTTCATCATTATGGTAACAGGGTAAGGGGACCTAAAGTGCGTGCTGCTACTAAGCATGCTGCTACTAAGCATGCCCCATACAGTACTGATTTGGATTCTTATGCTGGGATGTACCCCGGTTGGATCTTAAGGACGCGTGCATGTGCTAACAGACGGTCGTCTCCTGGCATGTAGCTTTAGGCTTCATTGTAGTTCCTTTTTGGGCTTTCCTTTTCGGATCCTAAATATGAACCACAAAACGGAACTACAGTGGAGCCTATAGGTATGCCCGAATGGGCACTTGGACGTCCATTGGCAAGGTTTACTGGACATTTCAGAAGTCAAGGAAGCCGCCAACAAAGACTCGCAGACCCGAGTACCACGGTTTAGGGTTTAGGGTTTAGGGTGTAGGATAGCTAACAGAACCCTGTCACCCAGCCATTTATCTCAATCTATCCATGTATATACCTATCTATCTATCCATCTACTTACTACCTACCTATCGATCTAGCTAGCTTCCGACCCCTATGTATCGCCTTAGCGGAGAGCTCACCCAAAACCCCCAGAACCGCATGAACCCCTTAGCGCAAACCTTAAACTCGACAACCAAATCAGATCTTATAAACAAATCTCTACAACACCCTTGTAACTTCTGTGAAATTCCTTCTGAAACCGAGAAAAGAACCCTGCAGTGCCCTTAAGCTAACCCGACAATTAGAACTCGATCAAACCCTTGCCTTGAGAAGCCCAGATCAAAACCCGAGATGGCCGTGTTTCAAACCAAGCCTACAACCCATCAAAAGTCTTAAACAGTTTAGGGCTTAGAGTTTCCAAGTACCCTTTCCAGAACCCTTTATCACACCCTTCTATAAAGACTTTCAAGGGTTTAGAACTCATAGAGTTTAGGGTCCGGTAGAACCTAAACCCTAAACCCCTAAACCCTAAACCCGGTAGACCCCAAATCCCAAACCCTGGATCCTAAACCCTCAACCACCAAGGCGAACTAAGGGCTTAGGGCTGAGGATCCGTAACCTCTAAACTGGCCCCAAACCCTACCTGGGGATCCAAAAACCACTGTTTTGGGGAGGGGGGGGGTAGACCCTCTGATTAAGAAGTCATAACCTACTATTTTGTAGGGTTTGGGGATAAAGGTAAACCCTAAACTGATCCTATACCCTGAACTAATAAGTCGAAGGGTTTAGGGCGTAGGGTCCATAGGCTTTGCAGGGTTTAGGGCTCATGAGGTTTTAGGGCTCATAAGGTTTAGGGTGGAGTAGTCTCTAAGTCGAAGGATTTAGGGGCTTTTAGGGTCCATCCCTCTCCGCCATCCGCCTCGAAGCCGGCGGTGCGCAGCCGCGCTCGGAGCAGATCCAGATCGAGGCCAATGCGGAGGCCTCCAACGTAAAATTGATTTTTTGTCTAAAGGGGTTTATAGGGTTGTATTTGGGTGGCTTAGGGATTTGTAAAGGGTTTAGAAGGGTTGCAACAATATCTATGTAGAGGTTTTCAGGTTTATAGCATTTTGTGCAAGCGTTTAATTGGGCTTTATATGCTTTATGAGGTGTCTCTAAGGGTTCCCGCAAAAGTCGGGTCTATTAAGAGTCCGTGCCGGTTCGCTTAAAGAGCTTCAGGGACTATCGAGCTCCGCGCTGGGTTCTATACCTATGGACTCCATTGTAGTTCCCTTTTGGGATTGCCTCAATATGAGCACAAAAATAAAAGGAACTACAATGGAGCCTATAGCTAGGTATGCAATTGCTTTGGTCACTTCTTGCACATACGTAAATATTTCCTGCACTGATGTCATTATCTGCTATATGGGTGGTTGTCAAAATTATGGTCCCTTTTTGGTACCCTAAATATAAGTTGCCGTATTATAATAGGGACCCAAAAAGGGACCCCAATTTTGACAACCACCCATATGGAGGCTACACATCGGCAAGACCCAACTGCAATGGATCCTACTTAAAGGATCATGGGACTTAGTAACTAGGGTTAGAAATTAGGGTAGCTATACTTATACCTACTTATAGCCCCAATTAAGGTACTTTTAAGCTTACTTACTAAGTCCCATGATCCTCCAAGTACAGGTTAGCTGCCTTCTCTGTCGGGCTGCGGCGGGTATCCGAACGGCTTCCTCCAGAAATGGGCGCACGGGTTCCGGCTAGCGAAGCTCTTCGGGCAAGCTTGCTACAGATTCTAGGGTGTTTGAGGATGTGGCATCTAATATGGGTGTGGGGCTCAGGGTGTTCAGGGTCGGGGTTTCGATTTGTGTTCAGGATTTGGTTGAAAATCGAACGGGTCTGTCGGTTTGGGGGTATATTTTACTATAATTACCATAAGGCCTCTACAGTGCCTGCGTTGTTGCTCTGGGGAGTTCCCGTCCCGGAAGCTAAGAGCATCCATGCTGCCGTCTCCGTGAAGTATGTAAAACTCCGCATCAGGGTCGAAGGAGCACAGGAATTCTGGATTTGTGGCTCTTAGGGCAGATTGCAAGCCGGGGCGGAACGAAAAGGGAGACTGCCCAAAACAGGCAAACCTTGGAGTTGTGTCGGTCCACAAATGAGTTGAGCATCAACACACTCATTCTCAAGCCAATGTGACGCCGAACACGCATGCAAACGCCAAGCCTCGAACCGTGCGTGATCCTGTGCGGACTCAGAAATACACTTCCGAAAGCAATCCATCGACGGATCAATTGGGGTACACCCTTAATAGTCGAAACGCTTCGCAATCCTTGTGAACCCGTAGCCCGAAACCGTCAAAGGTTCTTAGGGACCCCCTAAAGCACATAAGCATAAGTACTTTACAGGGATATCCCTACCTTATCGGGCTTCATGATAAGGCGGCCTATATGGGATAGTTGTTGCTTATGTGCTTTTGTGGGGCCCTAGTTCTGTTCTAAGGCAAAGCGCAAGGTTCTGGCAGTCAGCGCGAAGGATGTGTCGCCTGCGGGGGCTCTGGCCCGCACTGTTCCGGGCCCCTTGAAACCCTACCTGGACCCTAAGGAACCGACCCTTTTAGTTTCTTTATATTAGTCCCGAAAAAAGTAGGTTATTTGGGGTTAAGGTACACCCTGAAACGAAACCGTGGAACTACTGTCTTTCAAGTGCTGGCGGACACTGCTACTGTAGCTGGTGGCGAAAGCTCAACAGAATCACGCAAAGTCGGTGATGCTACGCACCCCGATATGGGGCTGCTGATGAACACCGAAAGTAGAATTCATAAATTATTGTTGCGAACCAGAATCGGTACCAACGAGCCCTAAACCCCAATACCCGAAACTGATCGGGTTTGGTAAGGGTGTTTCAGGATCTGAAAAGGGTTGGGGGTTCGGTAGGATTTTGTAGGGTAATATAGGGGCCTTCATGATTAGAAAAGGGTTTTGGGGTCCATGAGGCAAAAAATTATGATAAGGAACCCCCCAAAAATAGTGTCGGAAATAATGAAGGCCCCTTTCTTAAATGCAAGCGAGTTCCAGCGATGCACCCCAGAAGCTCTCAACAAACCCTCTAAGGCAGTGGCCTTTTTTTGAGCTGAGGGTCCGAATGGCCCCCATACCCGAAACCCTTGCCAAAATATAGGGGCCTTAATGATTAGAATAGGGGGCTGGGGCCCATTATACTACACTTATGATAAGAAACCCCCAAAATTGTATAGGCTAGTGATTATGGCCCCTGTATAGTATGTGTGGGTGTCTTGGCTTCCAAGTTCCAAGTGGCCCTCCTGCTCGGCGATGCGCATGGACATTGCTGCTAAGCCACCTACCATGGGCGTTAGGGTCATGAGTCATGGGCTTTGCGCTTTAAGGTTCAGAGTTTGGTTGCTGGGTTGGGGCCAAGGCTTAAGACTTTGAATCGTTGGGCTAAGGATTGTGCTAGTTCCCCCAAGGTTCCAAAGGACCCAACAATCAGGTACTCGGGTTTAGGATAGTAGTTATGTAGGTTAGGATTCTGGAGAGTATATGATTATTGGGTACTTGGACCCTTGGGGTTCTATAACAACCGTACGGATTTCTGACTCACAGTGACGTTGTCGACACGAATGTCCAGAACCAATTCGTCTGGAACCTCAAACGAGTGCCTGCCACCCGCAGTCGATGATGTGATCAGGAAGCTACTGTCATATCAATCACGCATCGTTTGCGTCGCGGTAAAGGAGGTGTGTTCACATCCTGAGCTTGGGTACTGCCCCCATACAGTAACAGTCTAAATAGGGCTACTACTGAGGTTCGAATATGTATATCTATATTATGAATATTATCCAACTGTTACTGAATGGGAGCAGTACCCAATCCTGAGCCACCACGTCCCCCCCACGACTGATGCTCTGCAAGGCTGCCGCTTCAGCATTCGGTCCTCCTCGACCCTCGTACAAACGCCCTAATCCTCGAGCCGAAACACCACGTTACATTTTGTCGCCCAAGATTCCGGGCAACCATAATCGTAATACTGCCAACACTAACCTTCGTATCAACACACACATACTTGTGAAACACTGCAATAACGCTGATAGCCATGCTATGGGATATGTACTATCCCAAACCAACAATGGCAAACAAAGGTCATGGTCGCAACGGTTCAGGGTAAACCCTACGTAAACCCTAAACCCCCAACACCAAGCACAAAGAACAAGGTGAAAACCCAAAGGGTCCTATGTACTGTTATGGGGGATACTTCCCTAAGTCAAAATAGTAATTCCTAATATGGAAACCCTACATTCTACTATATCGGTACATTGGACCCTTTGGGAAAGAGATCGAAGCAACCTGGCCTGGCTTCAGCACGCGGCGTGCTTCAGACAGCTTCGCCGTGAGATCCTCATCTTTGAGTTTTGTGTGGGGCTTATGGGGTTTAGGGTTCAGGGTTCAAACTTTAGGGTTTATGAGGGGTTAGGGTTCAGGGTTTGGGGTTTATCGGACTTGTGGGCTTTAGGGTTCAGGGGTGTAGGGCGAAAGGTTTGTAGGTTACTTTACGGGTTCCTATTTAATCGCTCGAAGAACTTGTGCCGAGCTTCCTTCCCATTACCCGCAGGGATTTCTGCACAGGAGAAGGGTCTATGGTTGGTAAAGTTTGAAGTTTAGCTGAAGCTCTGGGCAACCTACTTGGTGGTCCCTTTACTAACTTCCTCATGTTAAGTCCTGCAAAGCAGGTATATCGGAGCTAGAGTTTAGGGTTGAGTTAAGGGACTGTTGGCTTGAAGATTTAAGGACCCGAGGTCTTCGAGTTTGTGTTCCGGGGCTTCGGATTGCTTCCTGAATAAATGCCCCCCACATGCCGACAAAAGCACTAAGGCTGCCTGCATCGACAAGCGTCCGAGGTGCAGCAGCAGCCGAGGTTCGAGACATAGCCTCAAACTTCGGCGTTTCATGGGCTTTCGGCCCTTTGCTGGCAAGAGGAGGGAGGGATCTAGGCATCTGTGGTGCATAGAATCCTGGATTTAATCAACTTAGGTGCTTGGGATGTGAAGGTTCAGGGTGCAGGATGTCCGTTGAAATTCCTTTGAAAGATGGTGACACTCCCGGTAGTTCTCCAAGAAAACAACAAGTACATCCAGGGCATGCAGAGAAACACATCATACGTCCCCAAACCCTAAACCCAAACATTCAGGGCGAGTAAGGATTGACAAGCATGCGCGGTGAAGCCTAAGTCGGAGCGTCGGCACTACCGCGCTAGAGCTTCAAGATCATCTTATATCACCTTAAAGGGTTTTAGGATTTAGGGCTCAGGGTTTAGGGTGCAGAGTTTAGGGTTTAGGGGCTTAGGGTTTAGGGTTCGTTCCTGACGCATCAACAACCCACTGCAAACCCCGCAGGCTTTAACCGCAACGTCTCGAAATCATATGAAGGGTTGCGCCGTTGCTTGCCAGGCGGCGGTCGAACGATGCGCTCTGAGCACAGGGGTCTCAGATACTTAAAGGCTTGTCGTTTTTTGTCTTACTGGCCCCAAACCCAGGGAAATAAAAGTTGAAACTTTCAGATTCGACTACCTTAGAAGAGCCCCAAAAGTTGAAAAGTTGAGTTTACAGCCAATAAGTTGTTGGCAGAGCTATGAGTTGGTAGGCTCTGCAATCTATGCCGCACATCAGAAGTTCTATGCCGCTGTTCAAGATTCCATAGCAAGTGCTGGCAATATGTAGATGGGTCTCTCATCTCTTTCGGATATGGAAATGCAGATTTCATGCCGGACATTGGAAAATCACGGCTTCAAGAACATCGCAGTCGCAGTGTAGCTTGGAACCCTACGAGGTATTAGAGCATGTACCTTCATATTCATTTCAGGGCTGCAGAGTAATCATCTGCTACATTCGCATCCGTATCAGAATCAGCATCAACAGCAGCGCTCATCGCTAGAATCACCAGTCGGATTGAAACCAAAACACCACGAATGCTGGCGATGCCCATGTTGCTGTCAATAACAACACCAGTTAATAAAGGACCATGCCCATATGCCGGCCTCGAACGGAAGTGCTGTGGAGTCGCCAACCACGCACTTTCCTCGTCCTCGTGTCAACCGGGCGTGCAACTTAGTGCGTGTGTATAAACATATATCACGTATTTATATGTGCATTGTCTATGAATACTGGTTAGTATCAAGCTCCATTGCCGTCCCAACCAACCCTAGGGGCTTCCATGGCGCGATACGCATTGCAGGTACACACTTGCACTTAAGAAACAAGACTTAAGGTGCGACGAACGTCGACTCGGGCGGTAGAATGAAAGGGTGAAAACCACATGCAGAGCTGCCCCTCATCCGCCTTCGATGACGACGACTGCTGCTGATACTATTTCCGCTTCTACTTCGCTGAGGGCTTCGTCATCGACTGCTGTGTGCCCATCACAACGGAGAAAACGACTGCAAACTCTGCCATTCGACGCATGAGAACCGGTGCCTGCACGAGTGCTACCAGGCATTGATCTACTAGTATTTACGACTCAGCCACAAGGATACTGAGCTCCATACACAAACTGACAACCTGGACATTGAGACACCAATGCAATGCAAGGGCCTAAATACTTACCAATACTACTTTGGGAGTTCCTTATTGTAGCTGTAGTAATCTATAGTATAATGGCATCCCCGAACCCACTGCATGCACTGCTCACGCCTCCCAGCCGCTTTTCCGCACAGGACAGCATTCCTTCGCCTTGGATGGCTGTTGCTTCGAGGGGGCTGTTACAACTGTTCCAAAACTGACCCTAAGGGTCCATGTACCTAAATAGTATATACGTTACATTGGCAATAAAGTATATACTCCCTATATGGGTACATTGGGCCCAAAGTATGTACTATTTGGGTACATGGACCCTTACGGTGGAGTCTTAGGGTTAGTGCTAAAGGTTGTTCTCCAAAGACTCTTGCCAGAGACCACGATAGAATCAGAAACTGCGAATCGGACACTATGGAGGCCTGCTGGCAGTGCCTCCCTGGCGCTTAGTAGAGCAAGGGGGAATGGATCCCTATAGTAGTCCCGAAAAAAATCCCCAAAATCCTTTCCCCCGTTCCCTACTAAGCACCAGGGATTTCGGACTTGGGGCTTTCTGAGCTCTAAGGGTTCGAGGATCAGGCTACTAGACCCAAGAGTAACCTAGGAACAAAAAGGATGCCCTTTTTGGTTTAAAGGGGGTTATAAGGGAACCTGAACCCTCAAAAAGGGAATAAGGGCCTACTCTAGGTCCTAGGCTATCTGTCAGTGAAGGCTCAAGCTGACGTTGCTTGGCGGGAGTTGGAAAGGGGTGCAGGGTTTGTGAGCTCGAGGTGTGGATGTGGGTCTGGGGGTTTACCTATCCGTGATAAAAGCACGATAACCGAAGCTGTCGAGAGTGGCTTCGCATAACCCTTTATCCTGAACACCGAACCCCAAACATAAACCCTAGAGTCTTCGATCGATAACGCTTGAGCTCATGGCGGTTTCGCGCTGACGGCTTTCGCAGCTTCTAAAGACAAGCCCTCCTTAATTACAAATACTAGGCTAGTGGTTCTTTGTCATGATCATATGGGAGTTTAGGGGCACCTTATTTCGGGGTCAGTATAATAGGGATCCTACTATTAAGGGTAATTACTAGATCAGGGTCCCGTATTTTCGGAAACTCCCATAATATAGTATAGGCTCCAGTTACCTAATTGTTGGGTTGCTGGGTTACAGATTATATGGGTAGTCACCATATGGCCATATGGCGCTGTGGAGCCGATTGCGCATGCAGAAGGCAAGGAGCCAGAGAAAGTTATGAGATTGCTTACTGGACTTTGGGCTGTATGATGGTTATGCCGCGTTTAAGGGATAGTGACCGCGGTGACCCACTAGATAGGCAACTGGGTTGCAGAAATAGGTAAGTTGCTTTGCGCAAAACCTCGACTCTCTCCGAGCGCTCTTCCAAACGCTGCGGACCCCAACCCTATACATACCCTCAAGAACCCAATCCTGATACCGTAAGCTCGCAAACCTTGAATTCCTAAACCGTAGGAATCCTAGAAGACTAAGGGTCCATGTACCCAAATAATGTGGGTGTCGGTTTAATGGACGGGTCACCCCCCCCGACCAAAAAGTTTATTTCTAATTGATTTGGAACCGGTAACCCCGGACAGGGGTCAGGGGTCTGAGTGGAATTGGGAGGTGCCGGGGTTTTGGGGGCTGGCTTGGGTGCAGGGTCTGCGGTTCTGCGCGAATGCGCGGTCGCGGGGGTCTGGGGATCACCAAATGCTGGAAACCAAGCCCCGATCACTCCAAGATAACTACCAAGACTACAAGCCCTTCATTTTGAACACTTTTGCCTCCGTAACCTACACTCCCACACTCCCACCCACAATCGACCACGTCTGAAGCTTGGTGCGGTACAATAATAGTACAGTAGTACAATAGTAGTACAGTAGAAATAATGCAGTAGTAGTACAGTAGTAGTACAATAATAGTGCAGTAGTACAATAGTAATACAACAGTAGTACAGTGGTAATACAATAGTAGTACAGTAGTAGTACAATAATAGTACAGTAGTACAATAGTAGCACAATAGCAGTACAGTAGTAGTACAGTAGTAGTACAGTAGTAGTACGATAATAGTACCGTAGTACAATAGTAGTACAGTAGTAGTACAGTAATAGTGCAGTAGTACAATAGTAATACAAGTGGTAGTACAACACTAGTACAGTAGTAGTACAATAATAGTACAGTAGTACAATAATAGTACAGTAGTACAATAGTAGTACAGTAGTAGTACAGTAGTAGTACACCAGTAGTACAGTAGTACAGTAGTAGTACAGTAGTAGTACAGAAATAGTACCAATAAGCAAAGCATAAAGCCAGGGAGCACAATCCCCCAATAAGCAAAGCATAAAGCCAGCGCCTGAAACCCTAAACCCTAACAACCGTGAAACCCTGAACTCTAAACCCTAACAAACCCTAAACCCTAACGAATCCTAAACCCTAACGAACCCTAAACTCCTAAACCCTAGCAAACCCTAAACCCTAAACCCTTCCCAAAGGGGGGTCGGTCCAGATTCGATCCAAAATTGAATTTTTTATACAAGCTTTAGTAATGGAGAGGCCTTTTTCGAGCAAGGGTCCAATTCCCAATTCGGCGGTTCACCCTAGCAGCCCCCCCCAATAAGCAAGGCATACAGTAGCAGTACAATAGTACAATAGTAGTACAGTAGTAGTACAGTAGTAGTACAGATTTCATTCCTGACGCCCCAATAAGCGAAATAATTCTGCAACAGATTTTCGGGCTTCAGGGCCAGGGTTTTAGGGTTTGGGTGGGGGCTTCAGGTCGTGGCTGCTTTAAGATTGACCAGCAGCAGACAGCCAACAAACACACCAAAAAGCCCCCCCCAGCCAGAAAAAAACGCATTAATTAGAACACCCAAATCTTTGGTACCGTTTCGGAATAGCACCGGAGAAAACGCATTGAAGGGGCCTATATTCCAAAACCGACACCCACATTAGCATATACATTGGCCCCAATGTACCTATATATTTACTACTTTAAGGCCAATGTATATGCTATTTGGGTGGTTGTTAATATGGTCCCTTTTTGAGTACCCTAGATATTGGGTGCCGTACTCTAATAAGGACCCAAACATTTGACCCTAATTTTGACAACCACCCATACGGGCACATGGACCCTTAGGGTAGAAGACTGGTAAGGCCCAGGCTGAAGTCGCATGCCGTGTAGCTCGCGACGCCTGGTTTCCGGCTTTGGCGTTTGAGTGCTCTGGCTCCGGTTACCGAAATACGGTTGATGATATAAATCCTGCATTACCCATAATAAGGAATATCAGTTTAGGGTCCTTCAGGTAATGCAGGATTTATATCATCAACCGTGGGATACCACCCTTATAATCTGACCCAGTAAGCCAGTATTTAGATAACTGGAGCCTATACTATAATCATACTACAAAAACCCCCAACCTAGTTTTGGTAATTGCTCTCGCCCCTGTACTCGATAGCTTATAGTGGGCCACACTATACCATAATTACAAACAGGAGCTCCGAAAAAGTCGCGCCCCTGGGGGCGCACCCGGCTTCGGGAGCTCCTTACAGTAATCCATTCATTCAGATGTACATATATTTGTGTATTCATACAACAGATACACAAACATCAGTAGTTCAGTTGTTCTGTTCAAGGAGCATGCATGCGCATCTCTCGATGTTCTTACTACACCATACATGAACAACAAGTAAATAAACACATGGACAGGTTCATAGTTTTATAAGAAACACATTACCCATGCACTAAAACGTAAACAACGGAAGCATCTATATATATATATATATATAAATATATATATATATATATATGTGTGCGAACATGTACTCGTTTTAAACACATGCCCTGCTAGACTTGCGAATGGGGCGCATGGCAGCGGTAGCAGCTCGCTCGCTGCGAGGGCGTCGCCGCAATGGGTCTCCAGGATGTTCAGCGATCTCAGTGATGTCTTCGGTGTAAGGGCGTTAGTAATTAGACTGGAGTTTGGGGGTCACATTACAATAGTCTTCATAAACCTAAAACCTCCATATTCGGATCCACTGCCTATGTCGGAACCGAGCCCTTGCAGAATACCATCTGCAGAATCAAGAATAAGAAGTGAGAAGTGGAGTACGAAGGGCTCTGCAGGACTTCGGTAGCGGTTAAACTGCACAAGAGCTCCACGATCTCTGAAGGTCTTCCCCATAAAACTGCAACCAAAGAGGGAATCTCAGACGCAGGACCCAGATCCCCTACTGTAGGGGCCCAAACAATTACCTATACTATTCTGGGGGTTCCTTATTCTAGTTATAATATATTGGGCCCAAAACCCAATTCTGCTTATTACGGCCCCGATATTAAACCCAAACCCAACTATGTCAGGATCCTCCTTGGGCCCTGTAAACCCGAAGACCCATAAACTATCCGGGCCCACCCTGAACCACAACCTAAACCCTAAACCCATAAAAAATTAAAACCTGAAATCCGTGAGAAACAAGCCTTAAACCCTAAACCCTGACCCCTAGGTACATACCCTTAATATAGCTATTATATATCCATTATATAGCCCATTATAGGGTAGGGGTCCTGATTAAGGGTCCCTCCTTTTCCCCTTTGAGAGAGATGGAGCCGAGGCGCAGGTCTGCGGGGGCGGACTGAGCCAGGCCAAGCCCTTCGATTTGCGGTTTAAGCGCTGATCTAAACCCTACAACCCTAAACCCTGTCCCCAAGGCCCTAAGCCCTAAACCCTAAGTTTGGGGGCTTGGGATCTACTGGATTTTCGTGGTGCGTGCTTCTTTCAACTTCAGGGCTTGGGGCGTATGTCGTCGGAACTTGAGCCGACATGCTTTGCTGGGAAGGCAGTTAAGTCTACGATGGCATAGAGCCTTGCCGAGGCGCACCATGACCGTAGTCACTTAAATTGCAAGCTTGGGGTCCTCTGCCGTTGCTTCTACATAAACCGTAAACCTTGCTTTAAAGCATGTTGCAAGTCTGTCTTATCTGAGCTGGCCTCCTCTGAAAAGACTTTAAACAAACTTGGTATCCCGATGCACACTGCCAGAGACGCTCAAACCAAAATCTGCAAACCCCCTGTGACCGAAACCTTAGATGGGACCTCAACGTAACTAGCTAGCTTCATCTGCCCAAGAGACGTCGAAACAGCGATGTGGCAAGCCCAGCGGTAGCCGGGCTCATGTTGGCAGAGTACCAGTCCTCGCGATGGGTGCTTGCGGCGACAGCTATGGTGCAGCAGTTGCACTAGCACAAAAATGACATCGACCCCGTCTGATTTGATATTGCTGCCCCTGTCCCAAAACCAGAAACACCGTGCACATCCCAAGGCCCTGAAGCCCAAATTCCAACCTCTTAGTAAAAAGTCGGGGAATTCTTCGCTGCGATGGATCTATAAGCCAACAGCCGTGAAAGGGGTCGTTCAGGGCTCAGAGCTAAGGATCTAAAACTTGGAATTTCGGTGCTTCAGGGTTTAGTTGTTTAGGGGTTTAGGGGTTAAGGTGTAGGGGCTTGGTATAAGGTGTAGGGCTAAGGGTTTGATGCAGGGAAAACAGGAAACAACCCTGATTTTCTGAGCACGTAGTCTCCATAGCTCTCTCTCGCGCTTGCCTCCCTTCGAAAGGCTCGTCGTGCTCTCAAACCAATAACATCCTACTGCGACGTCCACGGAACTTGGTTCCCACAGGGCTTGGGCCACGAAGCGGGACCGTGAACGATGCAAAGCTCTGGAGACACCCTGCAGCTTCTTCCAGTCTTTGCTACACGGTTCGCCTAGGGTTTCGGGCCTTTAGGGCTTTTAGGGTTCATGCTTGAGGGCCCTTGGGGCTTAGGGTCTACCCAACCAAACCCCGTTTAGGGTTTAGTGCTATATGTCTGCTGGCTGGTCCACACCTACCGACCATGGACATCAGGGTGACGTAGGCCCCATACGTCTTGCTAAGACTTTGCCAACCCGGCTGTCTCAATCAGGTTACACGATGGATGTGAAGGGACAGACTTCTAAATCTAAGACGGGGTTTTAACTGCATTGCTTATTGCAAGTGTTGCAACCGAAATACGCAGCACCATGAAACAGCGAGCATCGCGGAAAGGCGTGCAGAGCAGGTGGAGTGTGGGGGTCGTGGCTGAGGACTTACGTCCTCAAGACGCAGACGATGACATCATATGTATATTGGCACAGGTACATATATGTATGTGTACAACAGACATACATACCTACCTACATACCTACCTACATACGTACCTACATACGTACCTACCTACCAACATACATACAAGCATACTTACATACGTATGTATGTATATATATATACATATGATGTGGATATATATATATATATATATATGTGGATATACATATCTATATAAAGGTGTGTTTTATTACAAGACTCTGCAAGTGTCGGTCGCCAGCACACGGAACCGTGCAAAATACCTCAGGGCCCTCCCACTCGGGCTTACACCATGGGAGAGCCCCAGGGCGGCAATGAAAAATCTGGGGACGTGGGCCCAGATGAGGCAAAGCTACCGTAAACCTGTGCTACTATAATAACGCTAAGACAGCGTACCTCTCCCGTTGCCATTGCAATCGCAAATTACTCCCAACCCTGGGTCAAAACCACTCTAAACTCTGCACCAGCCATGTTCAAAAACAACTTTCGATGTTGATAAGATCAAAGGTCCGGGTGCAAGGAATCTCAATCTCAAGCCCTTGGACCGATCGAACATCAGCAGGATCTGTCCCGCTGGCTGCACAGCAACCCGTGCTATGACTTTGTTGCTGAGTCATAAGCCCCCCCAAAAAAAAGTGTACATTCTCAGTTTTATCGTGGGTAGTATTATCACAAAAAGTGTACAGTGTAGCCATCCACTATTAATGATGATAAGGAGCATCGCTGCTATTGATACTGCGGCTATTGCTTTTCTAATCACCATTGTGGTGGCGGCATGCTTCCAAACAAGACAGCTCGGGAGTAGCAATCGTCGCGGGTAAGAGAGAAATTTTCGGGGCGAAGTCAGGGAACTAGAGACGTCGTGCGCACTATTTCAAAAAAAACCGCACGCATCTGTTGTGTTCGTCCAGTACCTTTCGGGCGAACCTGGGAATTTTGTGAACTGTAGTGAAAAACTTGATGACCCACATAGTCTGAGGCGCCCAATGCACACAAAGTCGATACTAGAACCATGCTAAGGAAACCAAAGGAACACTATGACTATGTGCTTTGCACTATTTCGTTCGAGGCTACCCGTAATTGAAAGATCGATCCACCGCCCGAGGTTTTAAAGTATAACTGCAAGGGTAGGCATCTGTACTATTTGAGGTAGGAACTTGCGCGATTAAAAGGTCGGTGCCGAGCCTTGGGTTTGAGAGTATTACTGCAATCTGACTGTAAGGGTTTTAGGATAGGGGTTTCGCATTTTGGTATAACGGGCTTACGGATGAAATCTAACAGCTAACTTCCCTTACAGAGAACTCCTGCCGATGAAAGGAAAATGGCAACCACTTCGTGGTTAGCCAAGGAACGGCCTAGGGCCTTGAGCCCTAGAGTCCTAGAGCAAACTCAAGAACATAAGAAGGCTGCCGAGGTAGATCGAGTTATGGTGGAAGATTGCAACACCTCGTGGGATTGAAGCTGACGCTTGAGGGTCTAACTTGGGGGTAACTTGGGGGCCTTAATAATCAAAATAGGGCTTTGGGGCCCAGTGTACTGTAAATATGAGAAGGAACCCCAACATACTATAAGTAATTATTAAGGCCCCTCTGGAAATTAAGATGTTCTGAATTTCGGTGTTTTAAGATTTTGGATTCAGACTGTGGGGTTTGCAGACGTAGCGTCAGAAGTTCAGGGTTGGGTGGGATCCATCAGAGCATGTACGAGACATCTGATCATTGCGATGCTTACTTCAAGTACAGAACCTTCGCTTGCTTCTGTTCTGCCTTACTTCAAGTACAGAATCTTGGCTTGATTCTGTTCTGCCTGAACAGGAAACCTGACAGCCCTTTCTCTCACCCCGAAACCCTGAACCTTCTAGAAAGAAACCCTAAAACCGCACGCCTTCGGGTTCAAAGCTCGCAGCCGTTCGTCCGTGTGTCTTTGGGAGGGTGGGTAGGATTACGGTCCAGCGTGGCGGATTCCATATAGAGGGCTGTATAGTGATCAGAATGCCGTTTGCGTTTGGGGTTCTGCAGGGACGATCAAGGGACACTGCTGCAGAATACTCGGGCCACCTATACTATATGATATGGGAGTTTCCGAAAACAGGGGACCCCAATGTAGTATTCCAAATAGCATTATCCTTATTATAAGGAACCCCCTAATAAGGTACCCCTATTTTCGGAAACTCCCATATGGGGATCTTATGAGGTCTATCCCAAGCCGGACAAAGTCCCAGTCAAAGCTGTGGCAGGATCTCCGCCTCATAACGCCAAACCCCCAAATCCCGAGACGCAAACCCCTAAACCCCCGCCTTAAACCCCAAAAGCCGAAGCCCCTCCTTGAACCCAGGACCTTCTACCCGAAACCCTCGGCCGGAAACCCCAACCTCAAACCCCAAACCCCAAACCTCAAACCCCAAACCTCAAACCCCAAACCCGAAACCCTAAACCCGAAACCCCAACCTCAAACCCCAAACCCTAAACCCGACACCCTACACCCGAAACTCTAAACCCGAAACCCGAAACCCCAAACCCAGACTAGGTCCAAGCAGCCAAAGGAGCTGACCTTATCCTGGACATGTGTCTCGCCGCTGGTGCTCTCTGTGGTGACTGCCTCGCTGCCATCTTCCAGGGGTCATTTCGGCTCAATACTTGGAGGTTCATGGGTAGCTATAAGTCGGGTCATAAGGGGTCTAGGGTTCCTTTAAGGGTCCTATAGGATTTAGGGTTGAGGGTCGTTGTCTTTTGGGAGTTTCCGAAAAATAGAGACACCTATTTTGGGCTCCTACTATTTCGGGTACTATATTAGGGTCCCCTATTTTCGGAAACTCCCATTTTGGCTCAAGACTTGGAGGTTCATGGGTAGCTATAAGTAGGGTTGTAACTAGGGTAGCTATATTCATAACCCATATTAGGCCAACCACTGAGACAGGTTTTTGTTAGCGGACCTTTCTCTCGTCGAAAAGCCGCTGCAACTACGCACGTCGATTAGCGTGTTTGGGATTCAGCCTGGGCAGCAAGAGACAGGAGTTTGCTTTAAGCATGTGGTAGGATATGCTCGCCGAGGTCTGTTTTCAGGACTGCCTGCTAACAGCGTTATAGTGTATAATAAGCGTCTCACACAACCATGGTCGTCGCTAAACCTTTCCATGTTTGGCCAGTTCGGGATTCAGAGATTCGGTTCAGCCGTAGAAACCCCAAACCCCAAACCCTAAACCCTAAACCCCAAACCCTAAACCCCAAACCCTAAACCCTAAACCCTAAACCCCAAACCCTAAACCCCAAACCCTAAACCCTAAACCCCAAACCCTAAACCCTAAACCCCAAACCCTAAACCCTAAACCCCAAACCCTAAACCCTAAACCCCAAACCCTAAACCCTAAACCCCAAACCCTAAACCCTAAACCCCAAACCCTAAACCCTAAACCCTAAACCCTAAACCAGTTTCAAGGTTCGGGATTTGGGCGCTGGGGGAGCTTCAGAGCCCCATGAGCCCTGCTCACCTGCATCATCCAGATGCAGCCTCCTAACAGAGGGTATAGCTTAGAAGCTACTATATTAGGGCCCTAATATACTCCTATTATACCACTATTACAGGGTGGGGGCAGCTTCTAAGGTATAGCCTAACCAGCTCGCTTCCGTATTGTAACTATAGCATAATGGGCTCCAAAACCCTGTTCTAATGATTAAGGCCCCTATGTTAGGCTTTTGGGTCAAGTCCAGCGGAATCCGCGCCCGAGAAACCCGTCAACAGCAAAACACTCTTCTGAGCACGAGCGAAGCTCGGAGACCGCCAAAACAGACCCCCGCTGGCCCGAACAGTGCTAGGTACGCCAAGTACTGAAGGACCGAGGGCACTGTCGCGATTCAGGGTGGTTTAGAGCTTATGCGAGCAGTAAGGCTCAGGGGTTCAGGTCACCATGCACTGCACAAAAGCACCATCAAGCCCTCATAGACAAAATCACCTAGGTAAAGGTATGCAAAGTGTAAACGAAGCTGCAAGGAACCTAGCATGCTCACCCTCAGGCCCTGTAGGTCCAACCAAGCGCAGCTCAGGGTACATCTGGTGCGGTGGAGGTCGTCGTAGTGTCGGATACATCTGCTGCGGCGGAGGTGGTCGCAGTATTGGATGGACCGCCTTCCGAGGTTTGAAGCATGTGTGCTTGATGCGCCGGAAGGAGCAGGGAGCACAGCACTCTTCAAAGTATACCCATATCCAACCTAGAATCCTGCAAACCCCAAAACCCGCCCGAACCCCCAGGGCAGATAACTGCCGTCGAAAGACATGAAAGAGCGATGTCCCGCCATCGTCCCGTAATGCTCAGATGCTGCCCGAACCCCGGTTCTAATTGTCCATATATATATATATATACACATGTATATATATATATATATACACATACATATGTATATATATATATACATCTCTCTCTCTATATATATGTATCAATTTGGTGAATATCTCATAAGGCTGTTTCGCTTCAAAAAGCTGCTTGAAGTCTTCATTCAGGACCTTGCTAGTGCCACCTGCAGAAACAGGACCTGCGTCATCTTGCGCCAGGCAGAGTACCCAGAAGAGAAGCTGAAGCACAAGGGACAGGCAAAGGTATGAGTTTCCGAAAATTGGGGGTACCTTGATTTGGGGGCCCTTATAAAGGATCTTTCTTTTTGGGGTGCTGGATTAGGGTCCCCTATTTTAGGAAACTCCAGTATACCATTTTAACAATGCGACTACTTTTTGTGCTGTACGACAAATGTATCGACTTTTGTAGGGGCAAATAGAATGAGGTTTTGGGGTATGTTTTTCTAGACAACCTACATGGGAAGCAAACATGCTGTCATACAAGACAAGACTGTATCATGGTCAATTTTGTAGACACGTCTATTATATAACCCTCAGCATGGGCGGCAAACCCGATTTTCCGCCATTTAAATCTCGCCCCAAAGCAGCCCGCACGCAGACCCACAAAGCCCTTGCACCTTGCAGACCCAAGGGGGGCATAGCTTCACTCGATTCTTTTTGAAAGGGCTGAGTGCCCTGTAAATAGGCCCTGCACTGCTACACGGCCTGAAGAGGAAGTGGTGGAAGTCGATGTCGTGGAGCAATCCCCAAGGCGCTTCAAGTTCGTCTGACCGTTTTCCTAGGCTGAGAGTTTAGGGTTTTAGGGATTTTAGGGTTTATGGGTTTTAGGGTCTAAGGCTTCAGGGCTTTAGGATTTATGGCTTAGGGTTGAGGGTTTAGGTCGGCTGAGGGGTGGAGGGACTTGGAGTTTCAGGAAGGGGGTTGAAATTTGGGGCTCGAGTTTTAGGAGCTGTAGGGGCCTTGCCCCCGAGCTACCTCAGCCTAAACCCCCAAAGCGGGCTTCAGGGGGTTACTTAGAGGTTCAGGGGTAGTTATAAGTGGGTTATAATCCCCCTAACATGGCGTAGGGTTTTGGGGTTGAACAAAACTTAAGGGCTGCTAACTGAAGATCCTTGGTCTCGGTTCAAGGCTTTTGGGCCGTGTACAGTAGGTGTGTTCAGTAGCTTGTCCAGTAGACTTGTGGGAGTTCAGCAAACAGTCGGCATAGAGGCTCGGATCCTTATTGAAAGAACCGTTTGCATCGGCTCCCGAATTTTGAGAAAAGCCGAAGCTTGCGACCCAAAGCCCGAAGTTTGATATCGTTTAAGCCTTATACATACATACATGCATACATACATACATATACGTATGTATGTATGTATACATATATGCAAACGAACATATATCATAGATGTAAATTCTGGGCACTTTGTAAGGGCCTTGGCCCTCCTTGCCAGTCGATGGCAAAGTTCCGCGACTTGGGCTCGAAAGGAGGGTTTAGGGTATAGGGTTTAGGGTTTAGGGCAAACTTTTCGCACAGCTGAACCTCAAAACCGCAAACGTCCTAGCCATAGGCTCCATTGTACTTCCGGTACCTCATTTGGGGATCCATATGATAAGGATCCTACTATTTAGGGTACTATGTTGGGGTTTAGGTTTTAGGGTATCTATCTATAGGCTCTGTTGTACTTCCCTTTTTGGATTACCTTGTAGGACCCTGAATATGAACCAAAGAGAGGACCTCCAATGGAGCCTTACGGTAGAAATCGAACAATGCACCACCAAGAGCGGAGCCAAGTAGAAGCACATATCCTCTCGTGCATCATCCCTGACTGACAGCTTCAAGTCCGAAATGGAGACCCTAAACCTTAAACCCCACAAACCTTAACCCCTGAACCCTAAACCCTATAGAACACATCCGTCCAGCGTCCACTGCCTTCGTCCATGCACGGACGAAGGCCTGCAACCACGCGGTCTCATCGGCTGCAAAGTTCAGCACCGCCTTAGGGGCTTAGTTTGGGCTTGTAAGGGATCTAGTTTCGGTTTCTTTTAAGGGATTTTCAGGGGGTCAGGGTTTAGGGTTTTGAGGCTTAAGGTTTACTACACCCTACGCCCTAGGCCCTGACCTGCTGTGGCCTCCAAAACCCCAAACCCTTAAGCACACTCCTGCACCATAAGCCCCATAACCCCAAAAACACCCAAACCCTACAAGACCGTCTCAATCTCATATAAAGCCTTGTTAGAAACCGTAAAATCGAATCCAAACCCTAAACCCGCTGGCAATCCACCGCTTCCCGAAGAAAAGCCCAAACACGTGGCCTGGGCGGCGGGTCCTTGCGGGTTGTCCCGCATACCACAGTCACCTTGCTGAGGTCCGCAGCACCTAGGAAACAGCGGAAGGGCCCGCGTTGCTCCGTGTGTGTGTGTGTGTGTGTGTGTGTGTGTGTGTGTGTGTGTGTGTGTGTGTGTGTGTGTGTGTGTGTGTGTGTGTGTGTGTGTGTATGTGCGCTGTGTGCATGGCCCGGGGAATCTGGGCTCGGGGCCCATGATAGACGCACCAAAACATGGTATGTATATGAAAAAAGTATGTACGGTTCTTTTTTGCACTTGCTGCCTAAATAAAAAAATCCTGCCAAAAGATGGAACAAGTAGCTTTCGGAAACAATAAAAATCCACCAGTCTATCATGTCAATAAAAGTTAGCTAAGTTGTTAGTTAAAAGAACTAACTCTCATAACATGTTAACTAAACCCCATAGCGGCTAAGTACTGCCTCAGCTTCCTGCCCAAAACAAAAAGCACCGCCTGACATGTCCAAAAAGAGTAATGAAACAACAGTACCCGTAACCAAATCAACAAGACTATGACGATGGTGCTTGACGATCATACAACCGCCATCGTCGTCATCATCACCATCCTCATCCGTATACTCATCCTTATACTCATCCGTATCCTCATCCTCATCTCCATCTTCAGTGTCATCAACAACATCATCATCGTCGTCAGAGTCAATGTCATCGTCATCCTCGAAGGCATGACGGGGTGCCGTTGCCGCTCTTGGCGTGGTTCCGGTGGCTGTCCTCCGCAATACTCACCCCCGTTGCTCGCCACAGCGCCAGCAATTGTTCGGGCGGTGAGCCAGCCACAACCTAAGTCTGAGGGGCTGCTGCCACTTGAGGAATGTCGTATCCTTCCAACAGGCTTCAGGCACCTGGACTCCGCAGCATGTGGGAGTTTCCGAAAATAGGGGACCCTAATCTAGTACCCTAAATACTGGGATCCTTGTTATAAGGACCCCAAAATCAGGTACCCCTAAGTTTCGGAAACTGCCATGTAGGTAAACCTGCGTGGCTGAGAGTTCAAGCACTGGAAGGGCCTTGGGGTTCCTTCTTTCAAGCCTAATCCAGTTTGGCGATCAGGGGCAATCGTGCACATCAGCCAGGACGGGACCACCGGTCGGGCCAGGTTCGCTGTAAACCAAGCACATGTCCTCGGTGTAGGGTTAGGGTTTAGGGGTTAGGAATTCGGGATTAGGGATTGGGATTTAGGGATTAGGGTTTAGGATTCAGGGATTGGAGTGTAGGGATTTCGGTCTTCTAGTGTTGTTGGCTTCACGGCTTCAAGATTTCGCGGCTGCACATCGGTGGCTTGAGGGCAAATCTAGCGACCCCTGCAATCGACAACGTTCAACATTCGGGTAGTTGTCAAAATTATGGACTCTTTTTGGGTAATTCTCCTAAACATTAGGTGCCGTATTAGACTAGGGACCCAAAAGGGACAAACAAAATTGATAACCACCCATTCCAGCACGGCCTGGTAAGAAGGAGCTGGACATACGTAACGAGGCTTGAGCTATGTCGTCAGATGTTTGAGAGGCTAGAGGATTCAGAACTCACACATCTTGGGCTCTTATACTATACCCCTACTTAGATAAACACCTAAGGAGACTGTAGTATAGCTTATGGCCTCTTATACACGCCCCTTAAGCCCACTGCTTGACAAGCTTCCGACCGAAGCCCTGCGATATTTTAGCTACCAGAAGATAGAAACCCAAGGCAGAACGTACTTAGGGGTATATGCCGGCCCTCCCTTAACCCCAAATAACCTAGCTTTTAGGGACTTAGATATAAGAGATCATGTTAGGAGGCCCGAAAAAGGTAGGTTCCTTAGGGTCCAGGTTTGGGGTAAACACCGAGGTCGAAGCTCAAACCCTGAAACGGTTTAGGGTTTAAGGCTTAGGGTTTGGGGGGTCTGAAAACTGCCAAGGTCAGCTCGTGGTTCTGCTGTGCCCGTATGGGAGTTTCCGAAACTTAGGGGTACCTTATTGGTATGGGCACCTTAGGGTTCCTTGTAAGGGTTACTGTGAGGGTACTATAAGGGTTCCTTTAAAGGGCTCTATACTAGGCTTATAACTAGGGTAGCTATACTTATAACTTATAACTACTTATAACCCCAATTAATGTATTTATAACCTTACCAAGTCCCATGATCTTCCAAGTAGAGTCAGCTTGACTGTTGGCCACTGTTCATACTTGAGCGCCTACGGTCTGAAGTTTAGGGTTTGGACGGGCAAGAAGGCTCTGAAGGTCAAAATGCTTTGGGTGAAACTCTCTACATACATTGCTAAATGGGTGCTCTACGTAGCCTGACCATAGCGGCAAAGTGTCGGTGTTCAACATCATCTCGTGGCCATCAAACGACGTATCACGGCCTGCAGGGTGATTAAGCCGACGAGGCTTTCGCGTTACGTCCATACTCCGCAATCCTTGATAGAGAATAAAACAGACACCCTTGCAACCTGACCACAAACATTCAGCACACTGCTTTGACACCATGTAAGCTCCGAGCCTTGAACTAAACCTCACCCTGAACGCTACTAACGACACTAATTTGCCAAAATATCACCCAAGCACCTTCAACAGAAACAACTGAAAGCAACAATAAACATACGGGTTTTCTCCACCCGCCGACCCACGTCGCTGCGCTCCCACTGATTCTTCGCGGCATTGCCCGAAATGGCCCGCTCCGGCACCCAGCCCTGAAAGCGAGAGATATATTCAGGGTCCACAAAAGGGGGTTTAGGGATTGGGACTCATAAAAGGCATGTTTCGGATGTATGGACAACTTGTGGGCTTACAGTCCAGCCTCAGGGCCAAGGGTATTCGGTTGAGGATGTTTGAGGGACTAGGGTGACAAGATCACGGTTGATGTTGGGCTAGTAGGGTGAACAGTTCAGTGTTGTGTTCATGTTATCTGTGCCCCGTACCAAAGTATCACACCTTCACGTACACATGTGTAGGCGCGTACGAGTAAAGTACACAGTTACCTACATGCAGACATACATACACACATGCATGCATGCATGCATGCATTACATATATACAAACAAACAGTATACATACATGCATACATACGCACATACATATATCGAGTATACAAACAGTCTGCAGACATACATACTTACATACATACATACATACATACAGTATACATACATGTTTATGGTTGGACATATGTATATGCATTTAAGCATGCCTTTATGTATGCTTGGCTGATTGTTTGTTTGTCTGCTTGTCTGCTTGTCTACTTGTCTGCTTATCTGTCTGGCTGTCTGCCTGTCTGTCTGTTTGTGTGTGCTTTGTTTGTTTGCTTGCATTCACATCAAATTCGTTCACCTTGGTCTTTGCCGGACTGTTACTACCACTGAGATGGTAGCCACGCTTTCTCAACCGCCGTCTCTATCTTTGAGTTAAGTAACAAGTACTTCAAGTGCTTATGCGGCTTCATCCCATAAACCACAAACCCGAAACCCATCACAGGGCTGGAAGGTCTTGAGCCCTAACCTGATGAGGGGAAGGAAGTGCAAACGTCAGGGCTCTGGGCTCCAGGCAACCCTGGGATGCTTGACGGTTTAGGGTTTAGGGGCCCTGAAACCCAAAATTAGGGTTTAGGGGAAACCCAGAAACGAAACCCCGAAAAACCTTGCCCGCGAACCCGAAACCCTCTAACTCCCCAAGCATCCTGAGCTCACCACCCTAAAAACCCAACCTTGGCCAGCAGGGACACGAAATAGTCGTTGTTGAAGCGCCGCGAGTTCTCGGGATCGCTCCACCAGCCATGATAGCCTGAGTTGCTCACCTGATTACAGGGTTTCTTCAGCTTCGTATGGGCTTCTAGAAGGGGTTCCACTAGGACTCTATATGGCTTTGAAGGCTCATGATTTCAGGGCTGATGCTTCCAGAGATCATGGGTAAGCAGCTACATTGCTCAGCAAAATGGCACGCTGGATTTGGTTTCGGGTCGCGTTCGGTTTTAAGGGCTTCGTCAGGAATTTGTGCGCTTCTCGCAAGCTGTTAGGGTGAGGTGAGCCACAATCGAACATGAAGCCATTGATGGCCGTGAGGCGACAGGCATATTGTCTGCTCAGCAGCTTGCAGTGCTGCAGAGGGCTATGGAAATTGCAACAGGCTTGTGGAAGAGATAATCCTATCGGATATCTGCGGAACAATACCAAGCAAATTCCCGTCAACCAGCTTGACTATGGGTTTGGGCGAATAGTGCGGGGCTTTAAAATACTCCTATGGCATGGCATGTTCCATATGGCCCCAGCTATCGACTGTGGACGGTCGTATCCGTGCGAAACGCCACAGGGAACGGACTTTATGGTTTTCTGGGAATTATCCCCATTCGATTTCGGATTCGGGCTTCGATGTGTTTAGATGTTTGAGACATCGTTTGGGTCCGTTTCCAACCAACTCCTGTTCCAGGCACGAGAGCCTTGGCATACATCTTACACCCTGATAAAGAGGGCTTAAAGCTTGGCGCTTGGAGGTAGCCCTAAGGGTCCATGTACCCAAATAGTATATACTTTGAAAGCCTTAAAGTACTCCCAATGTCGGTACATTGGGCCCAAAGTACCTACTATTTGGTACATGGGACCCCAAAAATAGTACCCTAAATATAATAGGATCTTCATTAGAAGGACCCCCAAATAAGATACCCCTAATTTTCGGAAACTCCCGCATGGACCCTTTGGGTAGGGTTCAGGATTCAGGGGTACGGAGTTCAAGGCTGAGAGAAGACCCGGGGGCTTGGGACTGAAGCTTCGGGGCCCTCAGCTTTGACCAGGCTTCTCTGAAACCCTACTAAACTCCAAAACCCAACTCTAAAACCTTCAACTCTAAACCCTAAACCCTGAACTTTAAGCTCCAAATCCTAAACTTTAAACTCTAAATCCTACACCTTAAACCCTAAATTAAGCTCCATAAATCCCAAACCTCCCAACCTTGGAGTCGAACACCCTCCCGGCACCTGTGCACGACCCAGTGTGTGGACGGCCATGAGGGCCGCAGCCTCCGTCCAGTCGAGGCCCATGTTGTCAACAAAGGTCTCCTCTTCAAATAACTGATCTGAAAAGGGCTCCAGAAGGTTCGGAAAGGAATCCAACAACACCCTGCAGCAGTCTATAGTAAGGGTCATATGAAGGGCTATATATATAACCTCCATATTATCTAGCTGTTGCATCAGTCGGTATTAAGGGTCATATTAAGGTCGATCTATCTAGCTGTTACAGAGTGGGGAGTGCCCGAGGTTTAGGGTTTATGACTTAGGATTACGAGATGGTGGATTAACGTTCAGTGTTTGAGGTTTAATTACAGGGGTTTACGGTTAAGGGTTCAGGGGTCTAGGGTTTAAGGATCACGGTTTGAGGTTTCAGATACTTTTGTTTCACTTCTGCAGATCCCAAACGGCTGAAAGTACCGAAACGGTAGGAATGACTAGCCCTAAACATGAATTCTACACTCCTCTGAAAACCGAATCTGTGCATAACTGCATAATCCAAACCCTAAACCCTAAACCCCAGACCCAAGCGGAACACCTAAATCTGTGCATCCTCACAACTTGGAAGTTCATTATAAGTAGGGTAACTGTACTTATAACTCAACATTAGGGGGCTTATAGCCCCACTTATAACTGCCCCTGAACCTCCAAGAAGTTCCTCCACAGCGTGGCAGCCGCGCTCGGGGTTCGGCAGGCGCCCTTCGGCGAAGGCGCAGCTCAGCGCCGTGGTCCGGCCGAAGCGGAAGGAGGACTTCAAGTCGAGTTGGGGCGCTGACGACGCCTTTAAAGGGGGGGTTTAGGATTGAGGGTTTAGGGTTTAGGGGGGAATCTAATGTATGGGGCCTTTTACAAAAGTGATTTGGGGTATGTTATTCGCCGAATTACATATGGGCTACGAGGCGATAGTACTACGCAATCACATCTCTGCAAGCCGGCCTTTCGGTTTCAAGGACTTGCCATGGTTGAGGGCGTGGGTGTTTCAGTGAATGGGTACGGTACCTCCGGTTAACATACCACCCTCCCTTGCATCATGTAGGAGCCTTTATAATTGGAATCGGGTTTTTTGGGGCCCATTATGCCATACTTAAATAAATTAAGGAACCAACAAAATAGTATAGGTATTTATTAAGGCCCCTAGATTATAGTTCCCCTTATATATAGATCCCTTATAGTAACCCTTATAGGACCCTGTTTGAAGGAACCCTCGTCTAAATATTAAGGCCCCTATATCACAAGGACCGTGGAAGAGGTGTGGTCCCTCGAGGAACCGCTGTCTCTTCCTACAAGGCTGATAATTAGGGACCGGCACGACGAGGCCCAAAGAACCCTCTCTTATCCTTCTTGCCTCTCTCAAGAAAAAACTTCCATATGAAAAAGTAAACCCTGAACTGGCCTGGGCGAGATGCCGCGCCCGTGTCGACATCATCACTGCCTCTGCGGCGATCACCAGGAAGTCGGCCAAGGACACGGTGGCGCAGTAGCTCTGGTAGACCTCTTATAGGAGCTTGGGGCTTCGGGCTTGCAGTGAGGGTCACCGACCTCAAGATAACTATACATGGTATTGAGTATGCATGTATATGTGTATCTATGTATGTGTATGTGTATGTGTATATATATATATATATATATATATACATACGTACATATGCTCTAGCCGAACTCCCAACATAAGGCGAGGACGGAGGAAACAAACCGTTTGGCGGTGTGGGCGTTATTTTCCTGAATGCGTTTTAGACATACATGAACTTTTCACAAAATGGTTTATATTCTTTCTGCCTGCTCTCTACAGAAAATCCAAGGCCCCAGGCACAAAACATCATCCATCCCGGAATAGCTACTCAAGTCAGAGTATGAAAAAAAAACCCAGGCATCCCCTTGACACACGACACGAGGGATGTTGCTGGCCCCGCCACACCTCGACCTCTCTCCGCTCAGCCCAAACCCTATACTTAGGATCCTAAAGTCCCAGAGACTCCAATATAAGGAATATTCCTTAAATTATAGTAGGATCCCTAATATGATTTAAGGAATATTCCCTGATTAAGGGATATTGGAGTCTCTGGGTTCCTAAACCCCGAAGCTGAACACCCTAACTGCTCAATCGCGGATGTACCCTCAAGCGCCCCCGAACTTGAGGAGGTTTGCGATGTCGGCTTTGCAAAAAGCCTGAACATCTAGACCAGGGCCTTCGAGGAGTCCAAACCGCAAACATATCAGATGATTCTAAAGTATAGTATTGCTGCTTATTCGGCCCGATAGCAGACCTCCACCAACGAGATTCCATGCTCTCCGGAGGAGAGACAGGCGGGCAGCCCACCGTTGTCAGGATCAGACATATCCTCAGCGACATTCACTTCTTGCACCGTCTAACGTAGGAAATTTCTGGCATAGGCTGTTGCGGATATATATATATATATATAGATATAATTATATCTAGAGAGGTATAGCATTCACACATATGGCTCAGGACTCTAAGGGCGTAGGGTTCAAGGGCTTATGGACTGCATTGGGTTTCGGGCGGAGGTTCAGAGTCAAACACTGTATAGTAAACATTCGCATTATCATGGAAGTACGTAGCAATAGTACATCATCGGGGGAAAAAGTAAACCTGCAAGGCAAAATGAGAGTAATAGAAGCGTTGAGGATCTGGAAGAGTTCCGAATATGCCCTTACAAACGCTATCTGTGCAGTTTGGATCGCAGCCGAAAGCCGCGGTGCAGCTCAAATGACGGCTACAGCACAGGGTTTCGGCCTTTGCAATTCTTGCTTCGAGCGACCAAAGAGTAAGCCGCAAACATCAAACTTGCGTCAACCCTGAAGACTCAGACCCCCCCCCAACGATCAATATGGGTCGGCTTAGGGACTTGGGCAAGCTATGTTATAGTTAGCACGAGGCTTGTAAACCCAAAGCCCACTATCACACGGGTTGGCCCTAAACACACTAAGCCGATTGCCATACCTTCAGCAAATCCCAGTGTCCTCCGTACTTTCCTTCGGGACGACTTAGGGCATAGGGTATACCTGGACCCCATGAAGCCTATATGTTTAGGGTTACTTATTCTGATGTCCCTATATAAAAGCTTAGACAAGGTAGGTTCTGTGGGGTTTTGGTAGACCTTAGAATTTCGGCAAGGGCTTAATACATGACTATTAGGGTTTAATGCTTGTATATATATATATATATATGTGTGTGTGTGTGTACACACATATGTCTATATGCGGCTTATAAATTAGGCGAGTCTCGGTGCATGCGTCGGAGCCTCCTTGGCCATTGGCAAAGTCCATGAAATCGTGGCCGGCCATGCGCAGGACGCAGCCCGCCCAGTCGGCCTTTTGGGGCTCATGAAGGGCTAGCATAGGGCTTTGAGAGGTTTAAGGGGCTATTGGGGCTCATGAAGGGCTCTTAGGGTTTTAGGGGTTTAAAGGGCTACTAGGGCTCATGAGGGGCTTATGAGGTATCTTGGGGCTTAGTGGGGCTGAATAAGGTTTAATGGGGCTTTAGGGGTTCTTGAGGCTCATCGGGCTCAAGGTTTCAGGGCTCCAGGCTCCAGGGTTCCAGCTTAAGAAGGGCTTCTAGAGTTTCGGGTCTGTGGTTTAGGGTTCAAGGCTTCAGGTTGACGAATGTTTACGGAGTTGCCCAGAAGACCTACCTTTTCAACGGGAAGTCTTGGAGGGGAAGTCATCATAAAGTTAGGGTTTTGGGCCTGTTTAGGGTTTCCAGGGTTAAGGACATTTTTACGGTTTAGGAGCTTGGGATTCCAGGCTTCGGATTCCAGTTTTCAGTGTTAGCGCAGGGTTGCGGGTCTACATGAAATCGGGGTCTTAATCATGAGAATAAGGTTCCTTTAAAGGGGTCGATAAGGGTTACTGTAGGGATCCATAATAAAGTTCTATGGGATAGGGTCTTAATGATTAGAACAGGGTTGTGGGGCCCGTTGTACTATAAATATATTACGGAGCAACCAAAACACTATAGGAATTTATCTACGATAGTATTCGGACGGTGGGGTTTATAGGTTGCCGGGGTCACGTGTGTTCACAGCTTTGAGGTGTTGAGAACCCCACGACAAGCGAAGTGTTTAAGCTCACATTTGTTCAGCAGCCTAAACCTCAAACCACGAGCTTTACGGTGGCCTGCGGGCAGTTGGATGCCGTGCATGTCTCCGGAAGGGATTCCAAGTGGCCTCTCACCGCTGCCAGCAGCTCGTCATACTGTGCTTCAGTCATGCATTCCTTGGATTCGCAGAGCCTACGGATCTATGGGCTACAGAAACAAAGTGCCATAGGTACATGGACTCTAGGATAGTTCAGTTGATGGTCTATAGGCCGTGGACGTGCTGAATTTGCAGGGAGTAGGAAAAGTGATCGACATAGGACTGACGGCCGAACTTGCTGATCTTTCCCTCAAGTCGTCTTTCGCGACATGCTCTAGACCGCCTCTTCACTCTAAATCCCGAACTCCACCCACCCTGTTCTGTACATCCCAAACTCCACCCAAGGCTCTGTGGTGAGCGTAGCGCCGCCGGGGCAGGCCATCATCTCTGCGGGGGTGTTGTTCCTTGGCTGCTCTGGCGGCCCACAGCTCTGCGAAGCACGCTGAGTTTAGCATTCATGGTGTGCTAGGGCTTGGGGGAGGGTTTTAGGGTTTAGAAGCGTTCTTTAGGGTGGTTAGGGGTTTAAGGCACCCAAAATATCAATCATACCGCCTTATCCTCCATCTTCTCGCTTAGCAAACCTTTCAGAGCATCCAAGTTTCTGGCCCGCAACAGCCGTGCCGCCTGCGATTGGCAGAAGCAGGAGCCCGATCCTGATCATTGTCTCCATGGCGGCAGTGAAAGCACGAACCGGGCTGCCTACACCGCCTACACCCTAAACCCTTGAGGCAAAGATCCGTAGAGCGATGTGAGCAGGTCGTGGCGGTGGTTCGCAGATTGGCTCTTTGCGACATTCGTGCTATGAACGTTCTCAACCTCCCACTCGAAAGACTAAAACCGTAACATCCACAACCCTAACTCTAAATTTATGTGGCTGCAACTCAGGATGAATAACCCGCTCTCACAACGGCTATCAAGCCAAATATATATACACCCAAAACATCACAAAACCCGAAACTCGAGTCCTGCCTGGACAGACAGACAACGAGCAATCCCAAAACCAGCTCCGGCTCTGTGTGATGTTGAGCGGGACTAGGGTTTGGGGTTTAGGGTTTAGAGTTTAGCGGTAGGCTCTTCACACGTGGAGTGCTGATCATTCAAGCCTTGCAGCCTGTAGCGATTTCCAAACAGGCAAGACTTACAACCCTGATATGGGGGGTTTCTGAAAGGTGCTATCTTAGCATCATGTTGTAAAAACAAGATGGCCCCCCAACAGAGTTCATACTTCAACCTTAAGTTCTTTCATCGGTTGGCCTGACGATGCTTTCAGAGAGGGCATGGCACGGCAATCTTCCAGCAGCGCGGACCATCTGTCTGGCAAATCCAAGATCAGCCCCCAACAGCCCCTTCAGAACGCTGACAAACCCCCTGCCCACTTCAATTGTTTTCTGCACTTACGCGAACCTACTTGGGACCCTGAACCCTACGCCATAAATCCCATGTTGAACCGACACGAGGCTCCCCAGCAGCCCCTTAATATAATAGATGTTCCCTTTTCCTACTATTTGGCTTTTATAAGGGGCCCCAAAAGAAAACTTGCAAAAGGATACTACTGGGGACCCAGGACAACCCGGTCAACCAAGCTAAACCATCAACCCCCCCTAAACCCTAAAACTTCTATACAGCCTTCCTGAAAAGAGCCCTTAAAACCTTAACGCCCTAAAACCCTCAACTCCCCCATTGCACGGTTTAGGGTTTAGGGTTCAGGGTTTAGGGCTTACGATTTAGGGTTTAGGGTTAGGGGCCCCATTGCCCCCCGTCGCTCCGCCATGCTGTTCCAGGCCAAGGATGGTGGCGGACCTCCTGTCGCCGCCCCCGGCGCCCCGCAACAGGAGCCGACGGCTCCTTCGAAACGGGAAGTGAACGGCTGACAAAAATTAGGGCTTCAAGGATTTCTTCGGGATTTCAGAGAGTTTCATAGGGGTTTCATAGGGGTGTCATAAGGGTGTCATAAGGGTGTCATAGGGGTGTAATAAGTGGTATTTTCGGAAGGGTTGCAAAGTGAATACAAACTTATGAAGCTCAACCCTGAAGTTAGTTGTTCTTCTTTTTGGTGGAGACCCAATTTCAACAGGATCCGCACAACTGAATGTGTTGTGCTACGTCTCCTACCCTGTCCTCTTGGGCCACAAGGCTTGAAAGAATCCAGATGTAAATCGATATAATATAGGCCGGGTTTTCCATCTGCTGATACAGGATAAGTTCGACCTGCACCAGAAATCCACCTAGCCCTCTGAACTCAATCTAAATCCTCACAACCAAATTAAATTGACCTGAACGGAAAACACGTTCCAATATGTGTTGGGGCCTGTGACAATGCCTCACTCTCGAGAAACTCCACAAAACGCTCACTGAGGCTTGAGATTTACTGGGGGTGGTGGTTCGTACTGCAAGGCTTGTTAAGCTGCAGAGTGTGCCCAAATTGTTAGGGCTTAAGGAGTTTGAGGTTTTCGGGCCTCTATGGTTTCTGGTGTCCGGTCTGGAGTTTGTGGGATACCGAAATCGACCTTACCTGTAGGCTCCATTGTAGTTCCTTTTGGTGGTTCGTGTTCAGAATCTCATAAAATAATCCGAAACGGGAACGACAATGGAGCCTATAGGTAGACTACAGAAGTGACAGCTGACTGCTTCAACCTTGGGGGATTTGGAGGTCAGAAGCTGCCGCTGACACGCAGAGTCTGCTTTCCAGCTTGAATGCTATGTTCTGAAACTTGAACTAGTTTAGATGCCTTCATGGTTAGAATAGGGTTTTGCGCGGGTTTTGGGGTAAATTATACTATAGTTTGTTAAAATAAGGAGCTCCCGAAACCCTATTTTAATTACAAAAGCCCCCACATTACCCTGTCTTCTCACTAACTCAACCCTGCTCCCTCCGACACCTACATCCGCATACTCCTAGAAGTGTAAAACCCAAGAACCCTACACCGCCTACACTGCCAGATGCCCAATCCCTGAACCCTTGACTCCTATGAGTTCTTTAGTCCAAGAAACGAGCAAAACCTGGGTTCTTGGTACAGGGGTTTAATTTATGGTACCATAATAAGGAAAACCATTCCAATCGATATTATTCATTGTGACCCCTACAATGTTTGGTAATTTAAACTAAATTCCGTAATTAACAAGAACCCTGAAACAGATGTTCCGGCCTGTCGCAGAGGCCATCCTTCTCTGAACAGGAAAACTCGCGCACGTGACCGCGAGGAGGGGAGGAGCTGAAAAGAGCCGAGCTCTGAGCAAGCAGCGCGCAGTTCGGCTGCCCCTAAACCCCAAACCCCATAACCCTGAACCCCAAGCCCCTAACATCTAAACCCTAAACCGTACATACATAAATGTGTATACAAATCATAACAATAATATACATATATATATACATATACATATACACATGATAGAATATGAAATAATACAATGGATTGTAATACAATAGTCGAACAGACTAGAAGACAATATAGTATAAGATAGGGTAAGATAAAACAAGGTAATACAGTTCTAACAGGATACACTCCAAAACCGTATTATGCTATCATAAATATATATATATATATATATATATATATATATGCATATAGGAAGGCCGAGCTCGTCTAGAAGCGAACCCCCCGCCGCCCCGAAGGACACGCGAACGCCTCGCCTTGCGAAGACCCGGGCCCGGTGCCTCAAACGGAGTTCAGCTGGTCGCCTGCGTGCACGGAAGAGGTAGTAGAGGGGCCTCAATAATTAGAACAGGGTTCCTTTAAAAGGGTTCTACAAGGGATCTATAAGAGGGGTTTATGATATTATAAAGGAATATTAGAAGGAATCGAGAAGTAGAATCATAGAGGGGCCTTAGCAATTAGAACAGGGTTGATTGAAAAAGGTGTTATAAAGGATCTACAAGAGGGGTTTATGACACTACAAGGGATATTGTCATTAATGTACAAGTAGAGTTCTATGATAGAGGGGCCGTAACAATTAGAATAGGGTTGCCTTGAAGGGGTTCTTTCAGGGATCGACAAGAGGGGTTTATGATACTATAAGGGATGTTATAAGGAATCGATAAAGAGAGTTCCATAATAAAGGGGCCGTAAGAATCGGAATAGGGTTCCTGCAAAGGGTCTGTAAGGGTTACTATAAGGGCTCCATAATCGAGTTCTGTGAGATAGGGACCTTAATAGCTTAGAATAGGGTTTCGGGGCCCATTATACTATAATTACATTAAGGAACTCCCAACAAAAATATAGGCAATTATTATCCAGGCTCCTGTATTCGCAGCGGGTGTTGGCGACAAGTTTAAAGGTCTGAATGCCCAGCAAGACTGTTCCCTTGCCATATACCCATGTACAGGGAACTCCAGAAAGTTGGAATATGGTTTCAGGGTAGGATACCCTATAATTTACCATAAAGGGTTTAGGATAATCATATTCCAACTTTCTGGCTTTTACTATAAAGAAATGACGAATAGCTTTACTTAGGGCCCTAGGTCCGCTTCGATTCTCCACTTTTCGTGTGGCTATTGTGGCTCCAGAGCATCAAGACTCGGGATTTGAAGCCGAGGCCTAGGCATCTTCGGGGACGAGGTCTGACTCAAGCAAGGAATTGGACGGCAGTACAGAAAAACACGGCATGTATGCCGCTTTTCGACCTTGTCAGGTGATGTATATATTATTTGGGCACATGGATGTTTCGGCTGAACCGGACTCGCCTCACTGTATATTGCCATAGACTAAGGGATAAGTGCTTCTCTGTATGTAAACCCTGCCCCGCGGGCGGTTGTTACTAATTCCACTGACCCCTCCATAAGGCTCCATAGTAGTTCCTCTTAGGGTTTCGTATTTAACAACCTATAAGGTAATCCCAACACGGAACTACTATGGAGCCTTAGGGTAATGCCAGAATAGGGTTTGAGGGTTCCTTCATGTAATGAGGTATAATTTCTATTCTACTTATTAACTTCCAACGCGCGACCTACAGGTGAAAACTGGAAATCTTAGACCCTTGCACATGGTAGGATCCTTGATATACGTACGCCTTTAAAAAATCCAAAACGCCTAATGAGAGCCTTTCCCCGAAAGCCCTAAACGCCCCAAGTGGGGCATCCTGGAGTCCTGGGTCCTGGCCGTGCAAATGAGGAGGAGCAGTATCCCTACTTGTCGGGTATCATGGGGAACTAAAGGTTAACCTTTTTGGTTATATCGGGATGATATAGGGACTATACTACTGAACAAAGGTTAAAGCTTCCCTACTCTATTACTAGGTATCTCTTTTCGTAGGAGCCCGGGGGGCTAGGAAAAGCTGAGATGTGGGAGCTGTCATGGTTGAATAAAGGTGGGTTCCGATGGTTGCGACAGCTTTGACATGCATCCATGCGGGTTAAGCCTCATGGAAACAGCCGGTGGTCATGTTGAA